TATAAAAGTCTGAGCATATAATGAATCAGGCAAGAACTAAGGAAAATGGCTACAGGACAATCTAATGAGAACACCCTTTATATTCCTGGGTACTGGAAGTGGTAACTGCCAACTTATCAGTAGTTGACCAGACAACTCTTCATTGCCCAGCAGCTGTGTCCCTTGGATTCCTCTGTATCATCATCACCCTCTCCCCTTCTTGTTCCCCTCCACCCAGAAAAATTCAGGAATCAGGAAACTCATCATCCATCATTGAGACTGCACCAGCTTTGATACCCACACCTCATCAGTACCCTGTTGTCTCTGCTCCTCTGATGGAAGGGCTAGAGAGCAGAGCAAAAAATTCTTCCCAAAGCCCGCCTTTAAGGAAGGGCTCAGAAGCCCAGCCAACTCTTCATTTCCCAATAGTTGCACTCCTTTGATTACACTCCACCACCATCATTCCCTCCCACCCCCCCACCCCACAATCTTTTCAGCTTCTTTTTGTGCTGTCTTTCCCCATTTGATTGTAAGCTCTTTGAGGGCAGGGACCATCTTCCTTTTTTCTTATTTGTACTCCTAGTACTTAGCACAGTGCCTGGCACATAGTAGATGCTTGATAAATGTATATTGTACCATATTATATCATATGTAAGTGACTACAGAAAGTCTATTGTGCTTGGAGGGATCCTTGGCATTTTCATTGCTTATCACACCACCACTAAAGAAAGCGACTCAATCAATTAATCTACAAACAACTGAGCAACTAAGGCTCTCCCTACTATAAAAGCTCACCTTTTCCCTGACCTAGACTGACCAACTCAATTTCCCAGCAACTACAAATCCTACATTTCTTTCAAGTCCCAGCTCAAGCCACATTTCCTATATGTACTCTTCCCTAATTACTGCAGTCCATCCAAACAAGCTTTTTTTTCTGAATGCCTAAAGAATTTTTAGTCTCTATAAACCTATCATTTCACTATAACAAGGACTAAAAGTTGGCAAGAGGAAAGTGGGAAATTCAGGCAGCTTATGAACAGGTAAAATGTGTTCCAAAAGTTCATTTTTAAGTTAACTATTTGAAACTTAAGAATGCCTTTTCCTATCTCAAAAAATGGATATCTAATCTAATATTTTGTTGACAATACCCTCCAGATACCACTGTTTGTTTGTCTAGTTAACAAGAAAATATAGAATCCATCAAAGTACATATTTCATCATCATCATTTTGGATTCTAAATCATTCCCTACAGTTGGAGGAAAAAACGTCAGTTGGATACTTTTTTTAACAACATCAATACATAAATATGCTCAATTAAAGAGCCAAGATTTTCTTTGACCTTGGCCAATATTCTTCTCCCTACATACATACATACATATAAAATATATATATATATATATATATATGTATACATACATATATATACTGAGTTTTTTTGTTTTTCAAAAAATGGGTTCCAACATAAAAAAAGTTAGCCAATGGTCAATGTACATATGAAGGGAAAGCTCTGAATAAATGAGTTGTAATTACATTTCTTGTCCTAAGAAAAATACAATAAAATTATCTGCTTTGATTAAAACTACCAATACATGAAAATTCACCTTGATTTCACAGGTCTTGAATTTCACAGCAGGGGTCAAGGTTTATTCAACAATTTTCCATGCCTATAATTAATACATAATACTTATCCAAAGGTACAAAGAACAAAATTTTCTAGTTAGCATCTACTATAACTTCATTTACCCAATCTATGTGATTAACAATCTTTTTTTCAAACTGGCATTTTATATAGTACATGAGAGTTTGCAAAGCAACTTAAATACCTTCTTATGTGAACCTTCCAACAGCCCTATGAAGTAGGTACCACAGATATTATTCCATTTTACAGATGAGGAAACAAGCTGGGAGATGTTTAAATGCCTTGCCCACAATCACCCAGTTCCTAAATCCTGGATCCAGAATTTGGAAGCAGGGCTTCCAGACTCCAAAGTCAGGCTCTCCACTGAGCCACAGCTTGCTTAGGGTCAACATACTAACCAGCTGATGTCAATCACTGATCAGATAACCAGTAATGTTATAAATAATGGCAGATGACCAGACTGAGGCCTTTTAGCCCATCCAAATCATGTTGGTTCTACTTGGCTAAGAGATTTTGTGGTCAGATTTACTCTTTCATTTCCCTAACTCACAGGAGACTTTTCATATCTCTATGTGGTATGAATCCTAAAGAAAACAGCTAAGGGAACTATTAAATGAAGAATAGGATTGCTACTGGCACAATCTACCAAGTTTCTGACTGGTGATGAATACTAGCCACAAACACATACAAATACACAAACTATTAGCAAAGACAGAATTATTATAACAAGTTTAAAGGCCATAAGAATTAGGATGGCTAAACTAAGATAAACTGGTAATCAGTAAGGAACTCATGGTACTTTAGACAGTTTGCTTGGTATAAAACCTCCACAAAGTAACCCTCAACACTTCACAATTCTCTTCTACACAGACCTGATCAGTGTCCCATTACTTACAGGCACCACTAACCCACTCAAACACTCTTTATTGTATAATGTGTGTGAAAATGTCAAATTAGAAATAACTCACATTTACACAGTACTTTAAAGTTTCCAAGGCACTTTCTTAACAACTACGGGGTAAATACTGCACATATCCGTCTCATTTTAAAAGTAAGAAAATGGATATCTCAGAGAGATTAGTGGCTTGTCCAAGTTCACAAGGCTGGAAGGGATGTACAAGTACTCTGACTCTAAATTCAGTGTTCCCGACATTAGATGATAATGTCTCATAATAATATCTGTCCTATAAAGATCAAATGAAAGGGTAGATTCAAAAGCACTTTAAAAATACAGATAGGAGGGACTAACTCTACAATCTTGGGCAAAATTAACTCCATGCTATAAACTAGCTAATCAACTTTAACAAAAATACAACCTGCAAGATGAGTAATAAATGTAATCATAGAGTAATTCTGAAGTTCTAGGTATAAATATACATGCAAAATAATTTTTCCCCCAGTCTACATATAGGCCTATCGTGCCTATATCCAAAATTTAAAATGGCTTAACATGACTTAAGGTACCAACCTACATTTTTTAAGAAGAGCCTGTATCACCCCACACCTTTTATAGCCACCTCTGTTAAATCTGTGTCCATGGCATACATATAAAGTATGGCTTGAACACATAGCATGTTGGCATGAAGTGGGAATTCAACTGGAATGAGATGTAGGTTCAAATCTCTTAAGCTTACTACCTTGGTGACCAAATGGAAGTTGCTTAACCCTTGTGTTCTCAGTCTCCTCATACTTAAACAAGGTGGTTTATATTAAAGGATCTTAAAGGTCCCTTCTAGTTCCAAATCCTATGCTTTCTATGACCACCTATCCAAAATAAATGTAAAAAGAAAACTGAAAGAAATTAGTCTTTCTCTATCCCTGGATACTAAGTGATGTCAAATAAGTAGTAGTAGTAAACAAGCAAAGGATAGTCTCTTTGAATGTTTCCAACTCCAAAGCAAGTATTCACAAAACTTAAGGTGTCAAAAAGCATCACCAATTTTGCTCCTAGTTTGTTTCAATGTGTCTATGCATTACAGCAGTCTATAAACACGTGAACAGATATAGTGAAGTGAATTTTACACAATTAAGAATACTGTAAAAATTGATTTAGAGAATTGTGTTGCAAAAAATATCTATTCAAGTCAGTCTTTTTTTTCCCAATTTGCTGCCATCAAAAAATTCCTTCCCTTCGGATATTTTAACAAATATTCAGCTTCTAATAATGAACGCATTTTCAATATATACTTCAATGAACTACTTAAAATTTACTTCTATATTCACACTGTGACTGAATAGCTTATGAAAACACTAAAAAAAACAAAAGCCGTAAAAATTTTTCAAGAATTTAGTAGATTTTTCACACTGGATTTTAGTGACTGCAATCCTAAATTCACAGATATAATTTAGGTAAGTAAACTGTGGATCCATGTCACATAGATCATAGGCTGTCACTGCCACTAACTAAACCCAAATTCAACAGTTACAAGATCACAGATATAGAGCTAGAAAGAAAACTAAGAAATCATCTAGTATAAACCCTTCATTTTAGAGATGAGGAAACTGAGGCACAGAAAGGTTAAGTGACTCCAGATCCACTCTTTCTCCTCCCTCTACCAAGTCCCAAAACACTGGGTGTGCAATTATCCCACCATAACCTCTAAGGACTGTAGGTAGCCAGCAAGCAGCATCTTTGCCCTAGGAGCTACTGCGCAGCAAGTAACAGAAATAAACTATATGGTAAAAATCCAAAGTTAAAAAACCTAAGGTTATACAGTACCGGTCCCGGAATAAAAAACTTCAAAAACTTAAGTCTATCAGCAAGTGAAACAGTGAGGGCAGATGTCACCTCAGTTCTATGGCTATGAGGCCAAGAATGACAAACATTTCAAACATGAAACTACGGAAAACATCTTAATCTTGGTAGAGGATATCTCAAAGACCCATCCTTAGGTGAGGCCAAACAACCAACAGGCAACTAAGACCTATGCCCAAGACATGGCAGTACTGCTCAAAGGCACCATTCAATTTGCCACTTAGCACTGTCCTCCTCCTCCCCCCATCACAGCCAACAGCATCAACACCTGGAATTCGAAAACCACTGCAGGGTATCAAAGGACAACCCTGCACCATCTAGTCCCCAGAAACAAACGTGCCACTCGTCATGAAAGGAAGCCAATAGACCCTCTGACAAGACTCAATCATTTTCTTGAACTGAAGTGCCCCCCCCCGATGCCTGGCACAGTGCTTGGCTAGCGGCCTGAAACCACCTGGCAAAAGCTGCAACTGGAGGAGAGTTGGGGGAGGGGGAGGGGGCACGCCGGGCGGCGGTGACAGTTGGCAGCTGCTCCCAGATGGAGGACTTATGACCTCTGACCCACCCAGGTCAGCAGAGCCATCCATCCCGTGGCTGCGCCTGGAAACACCCCGAAGCTCCTTTACCTTCCTCAATCTTGGCTCCCGCCGCGGGGTCTGCGCGACCCCCGCCGCCGATTCCCCGGGAAATGAGAGGAGCGAAGAGGACGCAGGGGCTGAGAGATGCGCGGGCGGGGCCGGGGGGCTCCGGCTCCTGCCCCGCCGAGGTCCTCGAGCGCCCGCGGGATGGAAGCGGCTGTGGCCGTGGCTGCCGCTGCCACTGCCTCTGCCGCGGCCGCAGTAAATCAGCTGACAGCGGCCCCAACTGCCTCACCGCGACTGTCGCAAAAAAAAGGGGTAAAAAAATACCCACAGCTTCCCCACGCCCAGAGACACAGTCAGAGTCTGATCGACGGCTGCGGGACCCAGCCGGGTTGCCATAGAAATGGAGCGGAAGAGGACTGCCTTCCTCCCCTTAACTCCCGCCCTCCTCTTTCGGGTGTCTAGCTCCAGCGCCCCCGCCTCCTCCACTCTCTCAAGCAACGAAACTCTGGGCAGAGGAGGCCGCTGCTGCCATCTTTATTGTGGGAAGTGAGTGCTAATCCTTAACTGGGCTCCCGAGGATAGTGAAAGCGGAAGGGGCGGGCCTGAGGCTGAATGAGAGGCGGGCCCTCGGGCGGGGCTTCCGCTGTCTGGGAGGGTGAGCGTCGGGGCGAGGACCTCGGGAGCTCTTTTTCCCTGAAGTGATTCGGTTATTTTTGGACTCACCTTCCTCCGCCGAAGAAATGGCATGTGCTCCGATAAATATTCCCCTCCCCCCTAGTGTCATCAATCTCTGATCTGTCAATCAACCAGCATTAATAAACTTAGAGTTTAATGTTGTGTTCAGCGCTGAGGATACTAAGAAAAAGAGAAACTGCCTTCCAGGAGCTCGCTGACTAATTGGGGAGACAAAATGCAAACAACTAGATCTAAGTATTAGATGGAAGGCAATCTGAGAGGGAAGGCACTAGCAGCTAGGAAGGGCAGGAAAAGGTGTCCTGCAGAAGGTAGAGGTTACACCGAGAGTCTTGGAGAAAGCCTGCAACATAGGAGCAGGACTGTCAGGGTTTCAAACATGGGGAACAGCCAAGGCAAAGGCAATATGTCAGAAGAGGGTAATGGAAGAGAGTTATTTATAGATATGGAGCTGGAAGGGACCTCAGAGGTCATCTAATGCAACCCTTTCATTTTTACAAATGAAACTCATCCCCATGGTCAAGAATTCTGAACTAACTATAACCTCCTGCCATTTTATCTCTACCTAAGGATAGGCCTATTCTTTTTTCTTTTTTTTTTGTGAGGCATTTGGGGTTAAGTGACTTGCCCAGAGTCACACAGCTAGTAAATGTTATGTGTCTGAGGTCGGATTTGAACTCAGGCCCTCTTGACTCTAGGGCCTGTGCTGTATTCACTGCGGCCACCTACCTGCCCCAGGATAGGCCTATTCTTAAACTTAGGAGGAGACCTCCTTACACTTCACCCCTCAGTGCGCTCATAGGCTCAGGCTTCACTTTCCTCTCTTACTAACCATCTGTAGTTTAACTATTAGAACTATGCATTGTTCTCTCCTCACATTTTTCACCCTCTTGTGCAGCTTATGCTTTGCCAACCCTCAAACCCAATATCCCCTTCTTATTCACTTGCTGCAGAACTTTGGTGGAAGAAGTCCAACTTGTGTAATTGACTGGCACGCCCCACAAGGACTGTTAGAACCTCTTCTCAACCTGTCCCACTGAAGAGGTCTAGGGGTTTTGGGGTGCTGGGACCCCAAGATCGCGGTACCGGGCCCTGCTGAATGAATTCAACTCAAATCTTCTTCAGCCAGAGAAAAAGTTTATTAGTGATAAATCACATTGACCAGGTGACGCCCGTAAAGAGGAGCGGGCATGAGAGGTTCTCAGCCTTGTGGGCCTGAGATTCTCAGCATCTGAATGAGGGCCAAGGTGATCTTAAATACTAAAGTGACTTTGGGTGGCCAGAGAAGGGGGTTGGGGAAAGGGTCTAGGTAAGAATTCTAATTGGGGAGGTCAGAGAGATTGAATAGACAATGGGAATAGATAATGGAGGGAACAGAAAGGCAGAAGTTTGAAAGGCATCTGCACAAAATCAAGGTGGGGCTAGGACTTTCAAAAGGAGATAAAGGAAGGCCTTTCTGGGGCCTATAGACAAAAGGGAGCCTAAGGCTTTCAAAGGGAGATGAGGGTCTGGGGCCTGTGAGTCAGATTCCCTTTGAGGCAAAGGGTGAAGATCTTGGCTTGGGCCCCGTCCTCATCACCACTACCTCTCACCCCTACCCTACCCTCTCAGCAAATCACATTTTATACTTTACTGAGAAAACAGAGGGGATTCACTTTGAGCTCTATCTTCTCCTTTATTCTTGTCATCATCTCCCATTCTCTTCTGATAAAGAGATACCCAATGTCCCCAAAGCCCACCCCCCTACTTGTACTCTAAATCCCATCCCCTCCAGCAGATTGCCCCCTAGGTCATCCTCTCTTCCCAGTTTTCAATCTTTCCCTCTCTGCTTCCCTACTATACCTACAAATAGTCAGTGTCTCCCTAATCCTTCTTTTAAAACATCCTCATTTGCAATCAAGTAAAAAACTACTTGAAATAATAACTTTAGCAAAGTTGCAGGCTATAAATTAAACCCACATAAATCATCAGCATTTCTATATATTTCCAACAAAGCCCAACAGCAAAAGATAGAAAGAGAAATTCCATTTAAAGTTACTGTAGTCATAAAATATTTAGGAGTCTACCTACCGAAACAAACCCAGGAACTATATGAACACAATTACAAAATACTTTTCACACAAATAAAGTCAGATCTAAATAATTGGAAAAACATCAGTTGCTCATGGGTAGGCTGAGCTAATATAATGAAAATGACAATGGTACCTAAGCTAATTCACTTATTCAGTGCCATACCAATCAAACTACCAAAAAATTATTTTATAAAGCTAGAAAAATAATAACAAGACTCATTTAGAATAACAAAAGGTCCAGAATATCAAGGGAACCAATGAAAAGAAATGCAGGGGAAGGTGGCCTAGCCATTCCAGCTCTTAAATTGTATTATAAAGCAGCAATCATCAAAACTACTTGGTATTGGCTAAGAAATAAAGTGGTGAATCAGTGGAATAGGTTAGGTATGCAAGACACAGTAGTCAATGACTATAATAATCTACTATTTGATAAACCCAAAGACCCCAGCTTCTGGGATAAGAACTCACCATTTGACAAAAACTGCTGGGAAAACTGGAAAAGAGTATGGTAGAAACTAGGCATAGACCAAAATCTCACACCATACATCAAAATAAAGACAAAATGGATTCATGATTTAGGTATAAAGGCTGATACTATGAGCAAACTGGAAGAACAAGGAATAGTTTACCAGTCAGATTTATGGAGAACGGAAGAATTCATGACTAAACAGGAGATAGAGAACATTACAAAATGCAAAATGGATAATTTTGACTACATTAAATTGAAAAGTTTTTGCACAAACAAAGCCAATGCAACCAAGATTAGAAGGAAAGTAGAAAACTGGGAAATAATTTTTACAACCAGTGTCTCTGATAAGGGCCTTGTTTCTAAAATATATAGAGAATTAAGTCAAATTTATAAGAATACAAGTCATTCTTCAATTGATAAATGGTCAAATGATATGAACAGGCAATTCTCAGATGAAGAAATTAAAGCCATCTATACTCATATGAAAAAATGCTCTAAATCACTATTGATTAGAGAAATGCAAATCAAAACAACTCTGAGGTACCACATTATACCTATCAGATTGGCCAACATGACAAAACAGGAAAATGATAAATGTTGGAGAAGATGTGGGAAAATTGGAACACTAATGCATTGTTGGTGGAGTTGTGAAATGATCTAACCATTTTGGAGAGCAATTTGGAACTATGCCCAAAGGGCTATAAAAATGTGCATACGCTTTCACCCAGCAATAGCACTTCTAAGGCTGTAATCCAAAGAGATCATACAAATGGGAAAAGGACCTATATGTACAAAAATATTTATAGCAGCTCTTTTTGTGGTGGCAAAGAATTGGAAATTGAGAAGATGCCCATCAATTGGGGAATGGCTGAACAAGTTGTGGTATATGAATGTAATGGAATACTATTGTGCTATAAGAAATGATGAACAAGAGGAATTCAGAAAAACCTGGGAAAAACTTGCATGGACTGATGCTGAGTGAAGTGAGAAGAACCAAGAGAACATTGTACACAGTAACAGCCACATTGTGTGATGACTAATGTTGATAGACTTAGCCCTTCTCAGCAATGCAAGGATCTAAGACATCTCCAGAGGTCTCATGATGGAAAATACTATCCACATCCAAAGAAGGAACTATGGAGTTTGAATGAAGATCAAAGCATACTATTTTTTTTCTTCTGTTTTGTTTTCTCTTTCTTGTGATTCCAGCTATTGGTTCTAATTCTTCCTTACAACATCACTAGTGTGAAAATGTTTAATAGGAATGTATATGTATAGCCTATATCAGATTGGGTGCCATCTTCGAAAGGGAAGTGGGGAGGGAGCGGGAGAAAAATTTAAAACTCAGAAGCTTGTGGAAGTGATTATCGATAAATCAAAATAAATTAAATAAAGAAAAAAAAGAAAAAGAAAAAAATCCTCATTTGACCTTACTTTAAGCTCTCATCCTATATCTCCTTTTCACAGCCAAACTTTTTGTAAAGCCATCCATACTCATTGCTTCCACTTCTTCCTCTCAACCTCATGCAATCTGAAGAGATTACTTAATTGAAACTGCTCTCCAAAATTATATGATCAACTGATTGCCACGTCCAAAGGCCTTTTTTCAGTTATCCTCCTTGCTTTTTCTATAGCATCTGACATATTCTTTGGGATTTTGTGACAGTTTTTCTTCCTGTCAATCTGTTCCTTTTCAGTTTGTTTCACACTGTATCCATGCCTCACCCTCTGGATGTATCTCAAAGTTGGGCCTCAGCCACTGTCTCCTCCTCCTCCTCCTCTTCTCCCACTTGAGCTCCATTCCTACCCCACCAATTACATATTAGATGTTTCCAACTTAACAGGACCAAAATAAGACTTATCTTTTCCCAGAAACCTCTTCCTCCTTGATTTCTGTCAATGATGCCACCCTCCTTCACTTGGGTTCACAATCTTGGAGTTATCTTTAACTGTTTTTTCTTCCTTACCCCATATACCCAGTCAGCAGCCAACTGAGTGCAAAAAACACTGGCTGTCTTCCATATGCCCTTCATCCTCATCTTCACCTCTTAAAATACCTAGCTTCATTCAAAGTTCTGCTCAGGTGTACCCGAATTACTTTGAATTTACTGTTTACTTATTTCCCCACAGTAAGTTCCTTGAAGCAAGGACTTTTTCACTTCTTTCTTTGTAGCTGTGGCTCCTAGTACAGTTCCTGGTTCT